TGAGAAGTTAAAGAGGACCCCCCCCCCCCCACACCTACTTCCCCTAATTGGCCTACTACCTCCCTCTTTATTCATAATTGGATGTTTTGGGTCCCTTGCAGCGTTTATGGGATTCTTGCCTCGCCTGAGAATTGCCTTCTATTCCCCCCTGCTGCACCGCTTGTACTGCCGACCACACTGAAGCCTCCTGGGACACAGAAGCCTCGTCAGAAGTGACACCTGACGATTTTGATGTACTGCCATGATGATGTTGCCTAATTGCTTCTCTCATCACAAATGACAGTCCCCAAATGCTGGTGAAATTTAAACACAGTGGCAGGGATCCCGCATGACGTTATTGCCCAAACATTTTTTTACATACCAACAACCAACCAGCTGGTGTAAGCAGTGTTTGCTTACAAAAAAGTAATGAATCAAATCACTCTTAGGCTGGGTTCACACCTAGGTGTATTGAATATGCGCGTTTGTCGCGCGCTTTTACCACGATTCGCGGTAAAAAAACGCGCGCCAAATGCGCGTTTCTGAGGGCTACTTGGCTATATCCCAATGGAAACGTGCGACCAAAACGCCCCAAAGAAGTACATGTACTTCTTTGGGCGTAGGCCGTTTTGTAGCGCGTTCAGACGGGCTGAAATACGCCCAGGTGTGAACCATACCCATAGGAAATAATGGGATTTCGGTGTTTGAGCGTTTTGCAGAGCGTTCGAACGCGCTACAAAACGCCCAGGTGTGAACCAGGCCTTAGTGAATCAACCTGAACAGGTTCACCTGTCACTAGTTTTAAATTCATACCACTGTTTCTGAGAAATCTGCAGTGCTAAAAAACAGGCTCGTCAGCTTTTATTTACCTCTCTAACTTTGTTGAATGTTGGGTATGAATTCCATGATGTCAGAACCTCTAGGCTGGAGCCTGGAAAACTTCAGCTGATTAAAAAACATGGCTGTTCATAGTGTTTCCAGTTTGACACAGTCACATTGTGATATTATTCTGAACTCTAAGAACTCACCGGGGGTCCCATTTAAGGGAAAAGAGCAGTTGAATACAAAGATAACAACCAAATTCCCAAGGGGCGTAAATACCCAGATATAATCACAAAAATTAATTCACTGAACCCACATAGGGATGCACTCCTTGTGAATTACCATGTACACATAAGTAAAACAATATACCTTTATTCAAAAACTAAAAATCACTGCGCTAGAAGTGTATGATAATGGTGAACCAGCCGCAACAATATAAGGTGTTGAACCCGTGTATGTTTAGTGAATATCGTTTGTAACGCTAGGTACTGTGTACTACAAAAAAAGATTTATGAATAACATTGTGTGATCTGCTCCTTAAATTAAATAATAAATAATAAATTATGCTATCACGTGGATGTGCACAAGTATAACGAATCTCAAAATAGTTTCCAATTACTGTGTTTCACTGTGCAGCATAATATTAGGAAAATTCTTAAACCAGTGATAAACCTCCACTTCTAAATGTCAATAAACATAATTAAAAATTGCATGTGAAATGCTGAAAACAAAAATAAATGGATAAATATATCCTGATAAGTGTAACCACAGCAATGGGCTGAAGTATCACATCTAAAACATGCGTGAACCAAACGACAACAGTGGATATAGCAGAGCAGTCCTATATCTTAATCCTGGCAATCAATAGCAAGCCGCGGGTAATATATTTACTTCACTTGTCTCCAGAGCGTCTTAGAAGGGCAAAGTTCTGTTATATTCTTTATGATATTGTCCATTCGGCTTGTTCCGAAGCAATCCCTCTTGTTTTTAATAAGCATCCACTTTAGTAAACCCGTATCCAGATACCTGGTTGGGCGCGACTATCTCTCTGCTGAATTATTTGATGTGATTAATCTGAACCCTGCTACAGTTTGCAGGAACATTTTATTTGATCTAATTAGTGCTGTCTGTCCATCCAGACATTTATATATATGAAAGATCACCTTTAAAAAATGTATATATTAAAATAGTTAAAGTTGTTGTTTGGGGTTAGTTGAATGGAAGTGTGCCAAGTTTATTGTTACAGCACTTCTTCATAGACACAAACAGTGGGGGGACTACAGAAGGGTGGAGGGACCTTTTGTGAAACAATTAGAACTCGCCAGAGATGTAATAGTAGTTGATATTTGCTATTAGCAGCTCCACTACTGAATGTCAGATTATGTTAACTGCTATTTTGTGTGATCTTTTTTTTTTTTTAAGCACCAGAACAGCAGAATTCATTAAAACCGGATAAACCCAATAGGATGAATTTCCAGCATCATCCTGATGTTCCAGCACCAGAGTCTCAACATCAACCTCCTGAACATGTGTCTAATATGATGGGTTTCCAGCATCGTCCTGATGTTCCAGGACCAGCGTCTCTACATCGACCTCCTGACCATATGTCTAATATGATGGGTTTCCAACAACATTCTGATGTTCCAGCACCAGAGTCTCAAAATCAACCTCCTGACCATATGTCTAATATGATGGGTTTCCAGCATCGTCCTGATGTTCCAGGACCAGCGTCTCTACATCGACCTCCTGACCATATGTCTAATATGATGGGTTTCCAACAACATTCTGATGTTCCAGCACCAGAGTCTCAAAATCAACCTCCTGACCATATGTCTAATATGATGGGTTTCCAGCATAGTCCTGATGTTCCAGCACCAGCATCTCTACATCGACCTCCTGACCATATGTCTAATATGATGGGTTTCCAGCATCGTCCTGATGTTCCAGGACCACCGTCTCTACATCGACCTCCTGACCATATGTCTAATATGATGGGTTTCCAACAACATTCGGATGTTCCAGCACCAGCGTCTCTACATCGACCTCCTGACCATATGTCTAATATGATGGGTCTCCAACATCACTTTAATGTTCAAGTGCCACAGTCTCAACATCAACCTCCTGAAGATATGTCTGATATGATGGATTTTGAACATCATCCTGATGTTCCAGCACCAGAGTCTCAACATCTATGTCCACAAAACGAGTTTAACACGGTGGATCATCCTGTTATTCCAGCACCAGTGCAGAATTACAGTCAACCTCAATATAATGAAGAAGAAGATATGGACACTTTACCCGAAAAGTAGAAATAATGAGACAATGTCCACAGATCACCACTTACCACATGCACTAGAGGGGATCAAGCCACACTAGTGTACTGAAATAACTAGAATAGCGTAATGATGTGTAACTACACTTATCATAACCCCCTTCCCCCAGCTCCCCCTCCCAGTCTTATACTTACCTTTTTGCACATCTTTACTGGTTGCTTGGACTAAGATGGCCGCCAGCGTCCCAGAAACCAACAAGCTAGAAGTTGTCAGTCAATGGCTCTAGTGATACTACCACTAAATTAATGACTTCCAGCTGCAGCAGCTAGAAGTTCAGCGGGCAGGCAAAGTGGCCATTTTTTAATATACTGTTGTTGCAGTATATTCACAAGGTGTTTAATACAATGGTTTTTTTTTAACACAATCCTTGTTTTCCAGCACCAGAGTTTCTCCATCCACCTCCACAAGATGTGTATAATATGAAGGGTTACCAACATAATCCTGGTCATCCAGCACCAGAGTCTCACTATCCACCTCAACAAGATGAATCAGATATGATTGATCTCTAACATCATCTCGGTGTCCCTTCCTCACTGAGTCACCATCCACCTTCACAGGACGTGTCTAATATGAAGAGATCATCAAAATAACTTTTCACAAATGCTTACATGGAAAATGTGAGGAAGAGCCTTGATAATAATAATAATAATCAAAACCAGTACGGGCCCTTCCAGTGAGAGCTATGAGAAAAATATATTCCGTTTTCAAATAACTGGCAGATTATGCTTCTGTTCCTTGTACATATGGAAAGGTCTCTCAGAACTTTTTTTATATTTGTAGGACTCAGAGATATTTATTATATGTGAGTGGAACCTTGTTCAATACAAATATAATATGTGAAAAACTAAAGGTCAGGTATTGGCATTAAAGCGTTTCTAAATTCCCGCATAATGTTAAACTATTACAGTTTACCAATCCTTAAATGTGGTGGCTGCATTTGTTTTCTTTTTTTAGGCTTTTTTTCCCTTTATTTTTACCTGGTGATCCAGACAGTAATTTACTTCCCGTCTTAAAGTGACACTAAACTCAGGAGTTAATCTTAAAAATCCATTCAAGTACCTTAACTATTAACAACCATGTATCTTATTTGTGTATCACTCGGCTGCAGATCCTCCAATCATCTCTGAATTGGTGCTGACACTGTCCTTCCTTCGGGAGGGGGGCTACTTCTGTTCCCTATGGTTGCCCTAGTGTGTGTTGTAAAGTAGTCACTGCTCCAAGCTCGCTCCCCTGATGGACTACAATCTCAAAACAAACGATTAAACTAAACATGAGATTGTAGTCCATCTCGGGAGCGAGCTTGGAGCGGTGACCACTTTACAACACACACAGGGACCATGGGGAACAGACGTAGCCCCCCTCTAGATGGAAGGACAGTGTCAGCACCAACTCAGAGATGATTGGAGGATCTCCAGCCGAGTGATACTCAAATAAGATACATTGGGGGAATTTATCAAAACTGGAGCAGAAGAATCTTGAGCAGTTGCCCATGGCAACCAATCAGCTTCTCTCTTCAGTTTGTTCAGTTAAGGTTTGAAAATGAAAGGTGGAAGCTGATTGGTTGCCGTGGCAGCTGCTCCAGATTTTGTCTACTCCAGTTTTGATAAATTCCTCTCATTCTTGTTATTAATTAAGCTACTTGAATGTATTTTTAAGGTTTAACTTATGAGTTTAGTGTCCTCCACTCTATCTGTGCAGCAGCAAAATAGTCAACCTTAGACAGCAGTTTTGTTAACCGGAGTTACTTTACATGAGTAACAAATTAAAGCCTAACTGCAGCTAACACTTTTTGAACAGTTACAGGTTATTATCTAAATTAAAGCTAACAATTTGTGAGCACCCCTGTCAGTGGTACATGCTTTGTCTCAACCCTCTGCCACAAACTGGACAGCTTGGCCTGTTGCAGAAAGTTGAAAAATAACAAACTTCCTGGCCTGATTAACAGGTAATGAAACTGTTGCAAGGAGGAAAGTAGTGCAAAGACTGCAGTGTTAATGCTACTGACAGGCTGCACCATATACATCATTTTTGGCTTTGCATTTGTTAT